GTTATATTCCTCCAATTCCAATCGAACTCTAGTTAATTTTGATGAAGGGTTTTTCATCGAAAATAAGTATGTTAAGGGGCGGTGGTCTGTTTTAATCAAAAATTTTCTGCCATAAACGTATGGTCTAAAATAAGTTATAGCCCAGTGGATTGCTGCTAACTCTTTTTTTTATTATTAAATAAAACGCGTTTTGTTTTTAGCTGCGACTTAGCATGTCGCATAACAAAATCTGTGTTGTTCTTTATTGGAATCATCTTATTTATACTCTAACATCTTATGTACTACTTATTTACTACAATACATATTTACTTAAAATTCTTACTGACTGAATCTCTCGCTTGCACATATGAGCATGCATTCATATGTGCCTAGCTCAAAGCATAGCTCAGTGAAGTCACCAACACACACACACCCATTTCTAATGTGGAGCTACAAGCAATGTATCCACAGACATATCTACATGTACCAAGCATGAAGGTGCTAGCAGCGCAGTCGTACATATTTACATACATAGAGCTAGCGCATGCACCAGATATAGCTTGTGCCGCTTGTGTTTAGCGTGTGAAAATAACAAAGTAAGGAATTTGTTTATGCTGCAAAAATACATAACACAGGCGTGTGGCTTTGTTGTTGTTAGTGACTTATTCTGATATACTACAGTAGCAAACGGTATGAATTCGTTACAGAGTAACGAATACAACCCCTGGCTCGAAGTACCGAATTGTTACTCACATAATAATCTCGTTACTCGCATGTTACGTATATGCACCATCATCGTGAATCAATACAACACAGCATATTGTGCGGTAACGAAACTGTTTTTCGTATCGATACTAAAGTGTGTTGCGTGTGTATGTACGTACATGCATGCATGTTTCGTGTGAGGTACAAGTGCTTGATTGTATCAAATTGTTCGAATCGATACAAAACTATGTTGCGTATATATGTACATGTACGTATATGTATGGGCGAACATTTCCTTACTCTGCAAGAATCGTTGCGATGATTCTTGTGAGGTACAAGTCTTGTAGTACCCAATCGTTACTCACATAATAATCTCGTAACTCGCATGTTCCGTATATGCACCATCAACCGAATCGTTACTCGTATGTTCCGGATATGCACCATCAACGTCAATCAATACAACACAACATATTGTGCGGTAACGAAACTGTTTTTCGTATCGATACTGAAGTGTGTTGCGTGTGTATGTACGTACATGCCCACTAGAACTTGAAGGGAGATCTCCCTATGTGAGGAATAAAAGAGTACTCCCCTTAATCTGATTTCTGGGCAATAAGAGAGATTTGTCGGTTTTGTACTCCTTTATTACTCGTTTAGGAGTCAAATAAGAGATCTCCTAAGCGAGCGACGAAATAATGCTCCCTGAGGCATGATTTGGGAGCAGTAAACGAGATTTCTCGGTTTTGTACTCCTGTATTGCTCGCTTAGGAGTTTAATGAGAGATCTCCTAAGCGAGCAATTAAAGAATGCTCCCTGAGGCATGATTTGGGAGTAATAAGCGAGATTTGTCGGTTTTGTACTCCGTTATTACTCGTTTAGGAGCAAAAAGTGATGTCTCCNTTTTAAATATATTAAGTATGTATTGTATTAATTATAAATGCACCGTTAAATACTTTTCAGATTGCGCAAATTAGTGTCAGCATTTAAGTGTGACCCCCGGGTTTAAACATCGCATGGGTGACAAAGATGTCAGATAAGCAAAGTCACCTTCACAATTTCCCCGCTTGGTGGATTCCTGAACTGGCAAGCATCCTTGACACCCAGGAAATCATATAGGAGTACATACTTATATGTGCATATAGGTGCATATAATTCAAATCTTATCTTACCGTTTTGTTATTATTATGTTTTAATTTCATATGATTTCTCTGCAATATAATTCTAAAATTAAGCAATTATGTAAGACGTATCATTTATGTTTTATTTTTAAGATCTTGTAATATTGCACAAATGCACGTGATTAAAAAGTTAAATAAAAAAATTTAATAAATAGCAAAATCTATTTGGCTCATGTAAAATGTTATTTATCATTGCTCTCTTATTACTCCTACAGGAGGTTTTCGGGATGTCTCTAATGGGAGCACTCCTTTATTGCTCGTTCGGGAGGAATATGGGATGTTTTCTATGTGCACTCCCTTGTTGTCTTTTTGGGAGGTTTCTGGGAGGTAACTATGGGAGTACTCCCGTATTGCTCTATTAAGAGGTTAGTGGGATGATAATTCTGTGTGTGCTCCCCGATTGCTCGTTTAGGAGGTAAAAGGGATTACTCCCCCTCCTAGGACATCCTATGTTAAAGGGAGTATACAAAATTACATGCTTATACACATAAGCATAGGGAGCAATGGGGAGTATTCGTATACTCCCAAGGGAGTACTCACCGAGCAATCGTACTATGCTCCCAAGTTCTACTGGGTGCATGCATGATTCGTGTGAGGTACCATCAGGGATGGAATTTCAAAATGGGCCTAATGGTCTTCAAAAATTGTGCCGAAAAGAATATGAAAGTGCGACAAAATTAAATTTCTTTTATAATAATTATTTCTTAATATAAAAATTATTAATTAACTAAATTATTACAGTAAATCACTTTTATGAGGGATTCTTTATAAGCGGCATACACGGTGCGTCTGAATCGCGAGTCGGTTTAGATGTGTTAGTAAAAATAAATATATGACTCAACTGTGTGTAGTCGAAAAGCGAGTGAACACGTACACAGTTGAGTCGCGAGTCAGACGCTAGAGCTGGGATACAATTGATAGTAATATCGATAGTATCGATAGTTGAAAACTGTCGCCACTATCGATAGTTTTTGAAAACTATCGATGTCGGCTTTAGCGAAACTTCTCTATTCTTTACATCTCTTAACATTACATTTGGGGTATTCTATTGTTTGGGTATTATATTGTTGTATGTCGTCAATTAAACGTCTAAAAATGTATTAACTGGGTTCGAAAAGTACCATCAAAGTCATATTATGCATTTCCGCCGTGTTAAAAATAGTTGGCTGTGGTTTCAAGTTCTCTAAACATTTATATAAGCTTTTAAAGTTTACAACATACAACAATACGACACTTACGACGCCGTTGTGAATTCCTCAATTATTGTCTTTTTTATCCAAGAAAATTAACAATACAGTCGCCAAAAAAAATTTTAGTTATTGGAATTTTTAGCAACTATAAGCTTACACTGAGTTATAGTAAAATTTAATAAGCTATAAAGCCGCTTACACAAAATTTGTATAGAAATTCGAATTAAAAAGCTTAAAATTTTAATGATTTTGTATATTTTTATGTTTTGTACAACTTTTATAAAAAATTAGAAGACACTAAACCAACAACAAAATAGTCAAGACTGCTAAAAATGTTGTGGTGCTGTTATTTTGACCAGTACTTTATTCGTTTTCTTATAATATGGTAAAATGTTAAAATTTGTCTTTGTCCGGATTTTGATATGCGCCTCCGTATTTGATCTCAGTTGAACTTTTATAAGTATGAGTTATTAATTTAAACGAATACATTTTGTTTTGTTTGTTTTGTAGTACTAGAAATATATTATTATAGCCAATTTCTCTTCTCTGCACTTCAAAAGGGACAATTAAAATCCGAAATAAATTTTTCCATATAAAAAATAAATTCAGATTTTGCCTGTCGCTATTCAAGTGGATGCAAGTATATGTATATAAGTATATACATATATAATTCAGACGCATAAATTAATAAGTTTATTTTATTATATAAGAAGTTCGTTTTGATGCACTCAAATTTAAACAATTTTATATAATCTCTTTAATTTACAAAGTAATTTATAAATTTTATAAATTTATTAATTATTTAATTTTCAAGCAATTTAGTATTTCAATTCAATACCTCTCACGACGATANTCAGACGCACCGTCTATGTTGCCTATTAGATATAAAACATAAATTCATAGCAAAATTACACAGAATTCCAATTACGGAAGGGAAATACACCGAAGTAGAGCTATTTTGACATTCTTACTCTCATATGTATGTACCTATTTGCGAAGTAAGGGCAGTAAGATATTTTGACCAGTTTTGCCTATTATTTTCATTGATTATTTTTTAATTGATTTTAAATAAAAGTCTAATTCATGATTTAATAAACACAATAAATGTACACAAATCGGCATTTCAAACTTTGTACATAAATTATAAAAACTCAGCAGGTTTTCGCAACAAAATACTTTGAATTCAGAACTTTTAGGGAGATTCCAAGTTTTCGATGTTATCCATTTTTTTCCATATAAAGTGTGTTCGAAATTTTTTTAAACGGATCAAAATGTATGACACCGTCAGAAAAAAATATCAAAAATTATCGCGATATTGCAGAAATTGCCGCTGTCATTTAATAAACTATAAAACTGCGAACCTAGAATCTTTCCAAAAATTCTGAATTAAAAGCTTGTTGTGGCGAAAACTTACTTTTCGTACTACATATTCACAACGGAATTCAGCGGTTTGTAAATGTTTCTCACAGCCCTTACTTTAATTTGTAAGTGCTTTTAATTTTCACTTTTTGTAATTTTTTAATCTATAATGTGGTATGTAATTTTTTGTTATATATTGGCATTTTATGCTAAACTTCTATATTTTATGATAGTGCCAAAATAGGATGAATTGTACCAAAAGTGCCTCTAAGAATGTAAGGGCCAAAAAAGGCACTACAAAAAAATGTTGCGCGTATACATATGTATNTGAATTGTACCAAAACTGCCTCTAAGAATGTAAGGGCCAAAAATGGCACAATTGTGCCTACTTTTCCATCATTGGGTAGAAGTGCTTGATTGTATCAAATTGTTCGAATCGATACAAAAAAATGTTGCGTGTATACATATGTATACATGTAATTACCCTGCAGCAAAAATAGAAGACAGTCCCAAAAAGAGCTAGTTCCGCACTACTCACTGCGGAGCCGATTAGAGAAAAATCGATAATTATCCACTTTTTCTAGAAACAGCTGTGTATGCACATATCTAGTAAAGCACCATTTCAGTGGAAGAGCAAAATTTTAAAGCGGTAATATTTTAATTTAACAAAATGAGTAAGCGGCACATTCCTAGACTAATAAAAAAATAAAAATAAATTTATTTTGGAAGATTAAGTGAATTTAGGGAAAGTGAAAGTAGTTATCAAGTTGTAGAATGCGAGGATCTTCACTTGGCCTTAGATTCAAACCCAGAAGCTGGGCCGAATGTAGAAATAGATGTAGAAAATGCAAAAGGGAGCAATTTGAAAGAAAAATTAGTTCAGTGGTACGATAAAACTTGATGGACATAAATATTGATGGTTTACCACTTTTTAGAAGTTCGCGTACTCAGCTTTGGCCAATTTTGATCAGAATAATGAATGTAGAGAATATATCTGCATTCCCTGTTGGAATCTATTAATCATACAAAAACCTCAGTGTCGTACGAAAACATGAATATGCCTCATTATTTATTATTTGTGGATTTCATTCCATTAAGTTCGATTAACATATATTTACAGGTTTCTACTATGAGTAGACTTTTACAGCAGTCTGCAACAAAGTACATGAAAAATATTTTGGATGAATCCATCATTTTAAATTAAAATGTAGATGGAACCCACGGGAAAAAGTCCCTCAAAACATACCCAAAACTATATGCATCGATAATAGGTAACCATGGATAGAAAAAAAGTAATCGAAAAATCTATTTAACAAACATTTCTTTTTATTTTTAGAGGCTATTTCTCATTTACCTAGTACAAAAAATTCTGAAGTACTATTACGCGCTGCATTCAGGATCCATAAAAAACGTTATTTTAAAAACTCAGCACTAAACAAAACAATATAATTTGAGTTACTCAGTATTAGATTTAATCCAATATTCTACTTTCAATTGAATGACTGACTCAATTCTAGTTCTTTTGTTTTAAGAAATCACCATTTATGTTCAAATTACTACTTGATGTTATACTTAATTCACGGTATTAATGGTAATTTTAAGAGGAATTTTATTTCCAGCAGTTTATTTTCAATTCCAATTTTAATGATTTTAATGTAACGCGTGTAACCAGCGCCAAACTAGCTCGATATTTGACAGAACGGGTTCACGTTCTAACCCTTTTGCCATGCTTTCAACTATCCCTTTTTACATGGCGATGTCCTACGAAGTGACGATTGTCTCCCCCTGCAAAACTTTACAACGCCTCCTGAACTGGTCCTTTTTTCGGTAGTTCTGAGATAGATCGAAAATAGAAAGTCATGAACTAGTTCGGAAATGAAGAGTTCAGGCTAGTTCAAAAAACCATAGTCCCAAACTCGTTCGAAAAGCACTAAATGAAATGGATTGAAAATAAAAATAAAATTTCAATTGTGTAAAGTTATTTACTTTGTACATATAATTTATTTTCCAATTCAAGAATACAGTGGCAACTTAAAGAATTTAAAATTCATATTAGTTGTGCATAAAAAGTGCTAGTGTAGTTTAAAATGATGGATGCATGTTTTGCCGGCATAAATTCCAGCAAAATCTGCAACTTCTAGCGCAATAGATCGGGGGAAAATACGCCCAACTATGCAAAGAGGGTCAGAACGCAGGGGCCTTCTTTTGCTGAAGTAGCCAAGGAGCAGATCCTGCTCGGCGTCATTGATGAGAGCAATGAAGACAGCCTCACCCTGAGGCAGCAATGAAAGTGGGTTAAGGCCGCGATGGCCGACATTGCTATCAACATTATGTTGGAGAATCCGGGACCTCCGCCAACCTGCAAGGGAGCGGGGTAGTTCCAAACTAACATCCGCATTATAGCATGCGAGGATGCTAGATCAGCGGAGATCTACAAGAAGACAGTCGCAGGTATTGGATAAGTCTACCCTGGTGCGAAGCTCAGGGCGGTCGACTTCAAGGAACTACCGGTGCGACCGAGAGCGAGAGCATGGTTGCCTTGCAGGCCAGCGGAACCAGAAAGGATCCTGCAAACCATAAGGCTCTATAACCCGGAGCTACCTACCGAAAATTGGAAGGTGGTAAAAATAAATGAAAGCGGTAAAGCGACGATGCAGCTTGTCCTGCTTCTAAATAAGGACTCCATAGAGTTGCTGGAGCAAAAGAGCGGGGTCATACGGTGCGGCTGTGACTTGGCCAAAATTAAGGTCTATAGCCACGACGTAAACGCAGCGAAGAACCTGATCGCGGAGGTAGAGCCGGAAGAGGCCAACAGCTACGTGGAGATGGAGAAGGAATCCGAGCAGGTTGATCCTATGGATGACCTGACCGGGGATTATGCCTCATCGACGTCTTCGCTGGGGGTCGGACGCATGCTTCGGCTTTATACGGAGGAGGAGTTGATCGAGATGTCGGAAGACGCGGTCAACTCCACCCTAATAGGCGACGTGGGCGATAACGGCCAAGATGGTGAAGGTACTGCAGATTAACCTTCACCACTATAAAGCAGATTCAGCTGCACTGATGCTCCATCTAACAGCTAAAGGGGCAGCCGACATCGTCCTAATCCAAGAACCTTGGGTGGTGGGACAAAACATTTTTGGGCTGAAAGCGCCGGGCTACAGACTGGTAAGTGGAGCCTCAACGGGGAAACCAAGGACGTGCATGTTGATAAGTATCACACTAAAGTGTCCCTTTCTTCCACAATTTAGCGACAAGGACACAACAGCGGTCAGTCTTAGTGTAAACGGACGACCAATTAAGATGGCATCCATGTACCTAGCGCACGACAAGGAGGTGCCAACTATCTGCATTAAAGACCTAGTGGCCAGCACGAGGGAGGCGCTAATTTTGGGAGGTGACGCGAATGCTCACCATCACACCTGGGGCAGCTCCGATGATAACGAACGGGGTGAGTCACTTTTTAATTTCATACTTAGTTCTAAGCTTGTTATTGCNTCATACTTAGTTCTTAGCTTGTTATTGCAAATAGGGGGAATGACTCCACTTTTATTACAAAATCCCGAAGGGAAGTTCTGGACCTTACCCTTATCTCTGAGAATGCGGAATGTCTGGTCGGGAAGTGGAAGGTGCTCAAGGAGTAGTCCTTTTCCGACCACCGATATATCCAATTCGAGGTAGTAGGGGGAACGCTCAAGGCTCTTCTAACTAGAAACTTGCGAAATGCCAACTGGCATAGGTATCGGAAAGAGCTGGATAGGCTTTTGCCACAAGATAGAGAGCCGGCTACTCCAGCAAACCTAGAGGAGCTGGAATATCTTGTCGACCATTTTACNATCGGAAAGAGCTGGATAGGCTTTTGCCACAAGATAGAGAGCCGGCTACTCCAGCAAACCTAGAGGAGCTGGAATATCTTATCGATCATTTTACGGGGGCCTGCAGTAAGGCAATAGCCATTGCATGCCCCAAAAAGCCGGACCGGGGTAGGAAAAAGCCACCCTGGTGGAATGAAGAAATCAGGCCTTCACTCAGGCTACTGCGTCTGGTAGTGAGGGACATTGGGAGACCTACAAGACAAAGTTACGGGAGTACAAGAAGCTCCTAAGAAGGTCGACAAGAACCTCATGGAAAGACTTCTGCAACGGGGTGGAGTCTATCTCAGAGGCAGGCAGGCTCAGAAAGATACTCTCAGGTACTGCCCAGAAAGCCCCAGGATGCTTGCAAAGACCTGACGGCTCCTGGACAGAGACCGAGGAGGAATCACTGGATCTGCTTCTTTGCACACACTTCCCGGGTGCCACGGATAGCATGCCGGTACAGCCACATTTAACTGGAGATCTTTCGGTCACTGGAGATTTCCTCATTAGGGAAAAGGTCATCTGGTCTATTGGGATATTTAAACCCTATAAATCACCAGGTCCGGTATACAGCTGCAGCAAACACTTCAGCTAAGCTCAGCGTGGCTACGCGCTATAATTAAGGGAGTATTAGCTCTTAACCATATCCCTAGAAAGTGGAGGGAATCAAGAGTGGTGTTCATCCCCAAGGCAGGGAAGGTGTCTCACAATAACCCAAAGGATTTCAGGCCCATCACCTTGTCGTCATTTCAACTGAAGGTTATGGAGAGACTGGTNGCATCACCTTGTCGTCATTTCAATTGAAGGTTATTTAGAGACTGGTGGAGGTACGTATCAGAAATTCGGTTGGTGACGGACTCTCTACCACACAACATGCTTATACGAAAGGTAGATCTACAGAAACGGCGCTACATGAAATAGTGTCGCATATAGAGAGATCACTAGACATCAAAGAGTATACGCTAGCAGCCTTCCTAGATATAGAGGGCGCCTTTAACAACATCATGCCGGGCGCGATAACGGCAGCACTGACGGCCCTGGGCATCGACTCGCGCTTAGTTGCGCTCGTAAACCAAATGCTGAGTTACACGGTGGTTCGGGCGGAGCTGGCGGGGGTATCGTTGACCAGGATCGTAGAGAGGGTCACCCCGCAAGGGGGAGTCCTATCCCCTCTATTATGGGTCGCAGCGGTAAACTCACTGCTGTGTGGCATGGAGAGGGGTAGCTATAAGGTTATTGCGTATGCGGATGATCTTGCACTAACAGTAAGTGGGAAATTTCCACAGACCCTATGTGACATTATGCAGGTAAAACTGAATGAAGTCGAGAGGTGGGCAAAAAAATAACGGGTTAGGGGTAAACCCAAGCAAGACAGAACTTGTACTGTTCACAAGAAGGTACAAAATCCCCCCATTGATAACACCAAGGCTGGCACAGACCACACTAAAATTAAGCGAATCCGCTAAATACCTGGGGATAGTCCTAGATAAAAAATTAAGCTGGATTCAAAACACCGAAGAGCGGGTGCGGAAGGCCACGGTTGCCCTATACAGCTGCAGGAGAGCAATCGGCCAANTTGGATTCAAAACATAGAAGAGCGGGTGCGGAAGGCCACGGTTGCCCTATATAGCTGCAGGAGAGCAATCGGCCAAAAATGGGGTTTAACCCCGAAGCTAGTGCACTGGATATACACCGTCGTGGTGAGGCCCATAGTTCTGTACGGGGTAGTGGTATGGTGGCCAGTGCTGGAGAAGAAAGTAAACAGTGCTAAATTACAAAAAGTGGAGAGAACGGCCCTGATCTGCATTAGTGGTGCTCTCCGCACAACACCTAATATGGCAATGAATACGATCCTTAACATCATACCCATAGATATTATGGGACGACAATACGCTGCGTTTGCAGCCCTAAGACTACAGGGGCTTAATAGCTGGAAAGCGGCTCGTTGTGGTTACACTACAATTCTGAGAAACCGACAACTACCGAGTACAACAGACTACTGTGTACCAAGGCTCACTTTCACTAAAGGTTATAGCGTAACGCTACCTAGCAGATAATCGAAGGAGTTCCGGGGTCTAGAGATGCCATAAGATTCTACACGGACGGCTCCAAACCAAAAAAATAGGATGGGAGGAGGCGTCTACTCGGAGAAACTGGGAATAAAGAGATCATTCCGACTACCTGATCACTGTAGTGCCTTTCAAGCCGAATTGGCAGCCATAGAAGAAGCCGTTGACAGCCTTAAACTAGCTGTTATCGCCACTACAGATATATATATATACTCAGACAGTCAGGCGGCCCTTATGGCGCTTGACTCTGTCACTATAAATTCGGAAACAGTTGCCAACTGCCGCAAATCACTTAACGGGATGGCGGAGCAGTTCGTTTTGCACCTGGTATGGGTACCGGGGCACAGTGACATACCAGGAAATGAGAAGGCAGACGAGCAACCAAGGGCGGGTACTTCCTGTCCACTTTCTCCAGCCTGGAAGAGGGTGGGTATGCCACTCGCTTCCTGCAAGCTCTTACTAAGGGAGAAATTCCTTGAAGAAGCGGCCTCCAGATGGGAGCGCACTGAAAACTGTAATACAACGAAGCTTACATGGCCAAAATGGGATGTACGGAGATCGAGGGAAATTCTCACTCTCAATAAAGGCCATATGTCACTGGCCATTGGTCTGTTCACAGGACATATCCTGATAGGAAGGCCCGCTGAACGCCTCGGGGTTAGTCACAACGACTACTGCAGAAGCTGCCACGACGAAGAAGAGCCTGAATCAATAAGGCACTTACTCTGCGATTGCCCAGCACTAGGCAGGAAAAGACAGAAATTCCTAGGTATAGGTCTTCTAGACGATCTAAGCGCGACTGCTAAGTTTGGAATACGGCAGTTGCTAAGGTTCGCAGACTCCACGAACTGGTTTAAGGAGTAGGGGTTTTTTTGGATCCATGTGGTATCATAATGGGCCCTGACCGGGCCTAAGTGTGCTGGCGCCCTCTGGGCCTAGCAGCCACTTCAACCTAACTTAACCTAACCTTCTCAAATCTCAAGGAAAGGTTATGTTTCTTCTCTGTAACACAGTGATCACTTTTTTCTGCTATATAAAGCAATTAAAATATGTTTTAAATTAATATTTTATTAAAAATGCCTTTACAAACCTCTTTTTCTTGCTAGCGTCAATTTTTGTTTACTCCTACATTTGGAATTTCTCCTCTTCTTCGCAAAAATAATCGATAAAAGCAGGTTGGATACCGAAAAGTTATCGGTTAAAGCTGAGATAATTTTATAATTACAGATTAACAAAGGACGAATTTTGTATGGCTAATCTCTTTTTCTAATTACAGATTAGGGAGTTAAGCTCGAAAATGAGGATAATCTACTTATATGTGAACCTAGTATTAGCTTCAAAATTTAGGATTTATCTTCGTGGCTTTTTCTAGCCTTTTTTATTTTCAAACTTGCATTTTTTTAAGAACAATCCTCCACAATATTTCTGGTTGCACTCAGTTATTGTTCCGGTTCAGTTTTACTTGACGAAATGTTAAGCGAGAGCGGGGGCTCTCAAATGTCCCTATAACACCAGGAAACTCCGCAACCCACGGGAATGACGTCAAGCACTATATCGTGTGGGAGAAAGGAAGTTAGTCGCCGCTGCTATGTCGTAGCCATTCGAGGGTCCTTAAGGTGAAATTAGTCAGCTGATACGACCTGTCTTACCAGACCGCTGTAATGGCAACCCATTTGATATGGCAGCGCCATTCAGCACTACCATAATGTTGGTACTACTGCCAACAAACAACAGTTATTTTTCCTTCCACTTGGGCTAGGCGTCAGTTTTGTTTGTTTTGTTTTGGGTATGTAGTTTAAAATTATAAATATCACGGGTAGTTTGGAGTGATTTTGGGGCTACACCCAACCAGCCGACCCAGCAAGTGTACACCAGCGTACCGGAGCAGCCATTTCTTGGTTCTACCACAAGAGCCGCTACAAGCAGCCGACGTTGGACACCAAGTAGTAAGAGGTACGCAAGGCGGGCATAACATGGCGACCGTGCCACGGAGATGCAGAGTCCGGGCCAAGATGAAAAGCGCATTTTAAAAACATTCTAAAAATCTTGGCCCGAGGTTGTGGCTTCATCGGTGCAAATAAGTACAGCCACACCATTTAATCATCGGCACGCAGAAGTTTGTGCGTATAGCAGTCCACCCGCTAAGCGCCACCATAGGCATATAACGGACCGGAATTTTAAGAAATACATATATGAATATATATGTACAGCAGACAACAGTTAAATATCGGTATTTACGCATATCACACCACCAAAGTAACGGTTTGCGAAAAAGCCACGCCACTAACTGTATACGCATAACGGCGAAGACGCCAATAATTCAACGGCATACGCCTACTGACATAGTGGAAAAGAGAAAGGTACAGTCTAGTTAAAAAAGTTGGGAAAAGGATAGCAACAAAGAAGACGGCGACGTGGGATACCGGACGGCTTAACTGAACACCTACATAGCAACAAACCAACGGAGTAATTTGCGGTATTTTGATGTACAGACTGCAGGGAGGGAGAAACAAGTCGGCAGTGGTAGCGGTTCGTTATATGTAATATACA